TTCTTTCTGTCTTTCTTTCGTTCGAGGGGCAAAGAACCAAGAGCCACTGAAAGCAAGAACTTGTAGGAAATCCCCAAGGAGCGAGCCAAACCAGGGTAGAGCCAAACCTTTGAAAAAAAAAACATGGCCCACCCTAAGCCCTGAACCCTAAACCTCCCAGGGGTTTGAATTTGGAATCGTCTCGAGTGCATCTCCTGGCCCAAGGAGGGCGGGAACGGCCGTGTGAGCTATTGCTGGGCCAGACCAAATGTGTAGACGAAGTATGTATATATATATATAGAGAGAGAGAGAGAAGATATGTATACATATATATGTATACATGTCTATCTATCTATTTATTCATATGAGAGGGAGAGGACCCCCTTCTACAACAATGATTGAGGGGAATTCAGAACTATTCAGTTGCCGCTTAGGTCAAAGCAGCAGGACTCCGGTAGAATCCTACCCTTTTTACCCCCCTCGTAAGGCATTAGAATGGCTCACACAGCGGAGATGTTCTGAGTTGGCTTTCTTACATGGGCCGTGCGGCGAACCGAGACATCAAAGCTTAGCATCGGCAAGCTTTAAACATCCGGTGTCTTCGGTTCGCATCACTATTATCCACTACATGCCAGAAAAACACCCACCCAAGTGGGTTGCGCCGGCTGAGACAAAGCCCAACGCATGCGGGTTGGAAGATGTACAGGCTTCCCACTCAGGTGCCCTGTACTCAAAAATGCTCTGGCTTCCCCCTCAGGTACCCTGAGATCACACATGCTCAACAACCTGGGGCTCAGCAAAGTAGACATACCATGGCACAGACCCATACATGAAGGCTACCGCCAATGCAGCAGCCCAGCCGATGTAGATGACGGAGTTCTGGTGGTCACGTGGAATCTGCATGGCATCCGCCGGTACCAACTTCTTCCATCCAAGGCAGAGATGAGTGGCGAAGATCACAATGGCCGAGGTGTACCAAAGAACGGTCTTGAAGTCCTTGAACAAGGCCACCTGGAAGTTTTTTTTCCGAGATTCAAGGCACTTGAGAACGTAAGAAGAAATCTAAGCATAAGCGATTGAATAGGCACAGGGGGTAGGTCACCAGATGATTTTGAAAAGTGAGTGTTGGGGAAGTCAACGGGTGCACTAGTCGATTGAGCCTAAGTGGAAGGAGAAAGGAGGTCTGGAGTAAGGGGCTTAGGGCTTAGGCTTAGCGGGTGGAAGACGCGAAAGTCACGGGAGCATGCAGGCCAGGGTGCAGGCATGGAGGTTGCAGAGTGGGCAACATAAATGGGAATGAACAAGTAAGTGGACAAGGTAGACCAACCAGGGTGTGCGTGAAGTGAATGAACCAGGTAGTATGTTCGGTGCATGAGCTTACGAGCGAGTGAAAATAGAGGCCGATCCAGCGTTCTCTTCCTGAGCCGGCTATTCGACTGGCTTGAGAATTAGACATTGAGCGTGCAAGAACGAATAAGGTCATTAAAGAAACAGAGTGTCTCGAGCGCAATGGGTCGCTGCGATAAGTTCACCGAAGAAATGAGTGACAGACTGACTTGGGAGTGAGTTTGAAAGAATGTCTGGAGGGAGTGCGCGAGCGAGCAAGTGAGCCAGTATGTGAATGAGCTGATGGTGTCGACGAATGAACGCAGTGAGCTTGTGGGCAAGCATGCGAAGGAGTCCAGGTATCTAGTGAACCTAGACCCTAAAACCCTAAACCCTTAAACTCCCCCTCCGCTTCCATCCCTTGGCCATCCATCACCTTCAAACCGCTTCTAGAGGCTTACTTGGGATGTCAGGAAAACCGAGTAAGTGGGTCAATAAGAAAAAGGGGGGAGAACTACGGTTACTATTTGCGCTATAGCGGTTCTGAACCTACTTCTAGGTCCCCTGACCCTCCCACTAGTTTCCGGTGGCCCTTTCGAGTCCCTACCTGGGCTGCCAAAGCTAGATTACCAGACTAAACTGGCTTAGGGTTTAGGGTTTAAGGCTTAAGGGTTTGAGGGTTTAGGGTTTAAGGATTCATGGTTTAAGGGTTTGGGGCCGAGAAAATACAACATGGGGAGGGGGGGGGGGGGTTTTCCCAAAAGTAGGTGTTTGGGGGCCCCTATAATGAGGCCTATAGCATTTGGAAGTCTAGTCTAACTCATAGTATCCGCCCTAAAAACCCCTGTAGTAGTCCCCTATATCGTCCCTTATGTAACCCTCTTTCAGGAATTTTGACCCTAAATCCCACACCTTCCACCCTAAATAAAGGTTGTATATAATCTGCTACATAACCCCCTTCAACGAACACCCACCTCGCGCGAGTACAGATCACGCGCCCTGACCAGTTCGCCATTGGCGGAGTCAGTGAAAATGTGCCCGGACAATGAGCCCTTGTAGTTGATCAAAAGGGGAGGCGCCTTAAGTTCTGGTTAAGGGTTTAGCCTGTAGGGTTTAGGG